AGTGTTGCTTTGAGCGCAAGTTCAAGTTCAAATGTGCTTCAAAGCAACCATAGGCATTTTTTACTGGAGTTAGGATTCTAGATAGGGAAGACTTCAACTTTTTTGGTAAACAGAAGAGATGGGTATCATTATTCACACATCGTACCCCCACACCAATTTCTGCCCGGTTTTCAGCTTTCCACAAGGGCAGTCCTTATGCCCATTGCAGAGCCCCCATCTTAGCTACGCCGCTGATTTATTTCTGCCTTCCAAAGTTTCAGCTTTACGACAAGACTAACAATTAATGCACATAATTTAACTGCACCGCGGGGGCTTGAGGTAATCGGATTGCATTACGTTTGTTGAACTGTTGCAACACGGAAGTTGATTATTTGCTCTCTTGGTTTGTGTCAGTGAACTCTAATTTGTGTATGTCTAATTCGTTTTTCTTTGTCTAATTCGTTTTTCTTATGTTTATGCAACTTCCATTTCCAGAATGTCCACCTATTACTTTTTTTCGACACAAAATGATAATATCTTTCAGATTTTAGCCGGACCGACTTTTTCGTCCCATTCAGGTTTTGGGACCGACTATTTAGATATATTTCACAGGGAAAACTCCCTCTCATCATTAACGTATTCAAAAGGGTCTTCAAATACATCACTCACTTAAACTCGCTTCTCCAAACAACCATTGCAAAGCAAGCTTTTCTAATCTCGAAAGATCTAGCTACACTCCAAGCAGAAAATATCTTTTTACGGAAATGCAATGGATACTATCAAAAATTTAAATCTAAATGAAGAAATCCTTAATTTAGAAGCCGTAACGACTGAACATATTAAAACTATTACCAAAACCCTTGAGGAAAAATACTTAACATTTTGGAAACATAAACTTGAAAATTCATCCAAACTGACTTTCTACTCAACATTCAAAACGGACCACAACCTCGAAAACTACCTAGTATTTATAAAAGATCCATACAAAAGAAGATGTCTTTCAAGACTTAGAGTCAGCAACCATGACCTCCAAATTGAGATCGGGCGCTATCAAAATATACCCCGTGAAGAACGCTTATGTAAAATCTGCGATTCAGGAGAGGTGGAAAATGAAACCCATCTCCTCCTCTCTTGCAAAGCCTATGAGCAATCTCGTACAAACCTTCGAAGTTCATTAGAGAATACCTCATCTGACGAGATTAATCTAAACTCTCAAACTCTATCAGCGGACCTAATGAAATCAACTGATAGTGAAATCATAACCAAACTTTCAAAATTTGTTTATTCATGTTTCAAGCAAAGACTTAAATACCTTGAAACCAGGAATGCGGATTAGCAAAGGTTGTAATAACCACCTTATTTGTAAATAGCATACTTGTCTTCTTTCTTTCCTCTTAATTTTTCTTAATATTGTATTGGTCTATTATAAATCAATAATAGTTATCTGTAATAGTCCTATTTTATCATAGTTCCTTCTATATATTGTTTGTAATGCTTTAGCAATACTGTAAATTTATGGTCATGCTAATAAAGCTATTAATTACAAAAAAAAAAACCAAAAACATGGGGGGTCCTTCCAGAGGATCGCAGGCTCGGGGAACCGAGATTGTGGTAGGCCAGAAATTTGGCACATTTGCATGAAATTGGGGGATTTAAAAAAAAATTGCAATTACAGCAACAGATTTGGCATTGTCCCTATAAGCTTGACAATGATCAGTTGTTGGTTTCCAACGCACAGGTTGATCTGGGTATCACCATTAGTCCTAAGCTATTATGGAACGATCAAGTAAATAAAGTACGGTCGAAAGCCAACCAAATGCTCGGGCTAATTAGACGATCTACCGCGGAGATAACTGTTATCAACGCGAGGAGGCTTCTGTATCTACAACTCGTACGCAGCAATTTTGGTTATGCATCCCAAGTGTGGTGCCCACAATCCATTAAGTTAATCGAAGACATCGAGAAGGTGCAGAGAAGAGCAACGAAATACATCTTAAATCTTGGGTTTACCACCGATGTCTCGTACATAACCAGATTACATCAACTGGAGTTACTACCAATAACTTATTGGCATGAATATTTGGACATGGTTTTACTCTATAAGTTAATTAACAACTATACCTATATTGATGAGAGTGCTCTACCAATAATAGCTGAATCAGGAATAACCAGACGTGAAACCAACGAAAACGTGATTAGATTTGTAATACCCTTTGCTAAAACTGTAACATACCAGTCTTCATATCTTATTAGAGCGTGTAAAACGTGGAACGTTTTAAATAGTGACCTCCGTAATAGAGATATTGGCCTGCAAGCTTTCAAATCTGGACTAAAGACGTACTACAAATACGCGCTATCTAATATTTATAACTATGACGATCCGCGAACTTGGAAATCTGTGTGCGTTAAATGTAAAAGGGCTAGGTCCCTTGATGGTGTTTTAAGTTGTTGTTAGTTGTCTCTTGCACCGATTGTATTTTGTCTTAAATTAGTTCGTTTCGACTGTTAAAATTATTGTAAACGTAAAGTTAATTATGGGGTCGCCGTAATTGGGGAAACCTGTGGCGAACTCCCTGGCGTTATATTAGCCGAATCTCATTAAATCATTAAATCAAAACAATAATTTTGTATGCATATGGTATCTGCCATTGTGCCTAATGTTAGTCAACTGTCTACCAATCTAATACATCTCATCTGCAATGCACCCAAATGTGGCTGCAGACTTCATAATTTTACTATTACACCAATTTTACACCATACGATTTTACTCGTCAAGATAATAAAGTTGGGCGCATCGCAGCTATTGGCAGACAGAGTTTTCCAAAAATAAAGTAAATACGTGTTGCTTATTCTCCCTTAGGTAATGAAGAATGAAGAGGCCAGTACTAAGAAAGCCTCAAGTCAGGATGTTGTAGAAGTAGAAAAATGTAATGGTATGTCACACGAAAAAAATAGTTCAGTAGAAACAATATTGATAAATGAAGATAATGTAAGTGATGAAGCATTAAGTTTACAGGTGGTTAATGAAGAGATCATTACCATGGATAGTGTAAGTATGCAAGAGGTGGTTGAAAAAATAACTATCGAAGACATTAACGTAAGTATGCCCGGAGGCAAGAGAAAATATTTGGATGAAACAGAGACTGAGGTAAGCGCGTCTCGAAAAAAGGCGCGAACGACCAGTGCTTCTGAAATGAATGTACATGATCACCCATATTGTTTACAGTCACCTCGTAGAATGAGAAGGCAAGTTGATGATCTTACAGATAAAGTTGGAAATCTACAGAAGAAATTGAGACTAGCCCAGCAGAAAACAAGGAGGAGGAATAAGAAGGTTAGCACATTGACTGCAGTGGTAAGTGAATTGAGAGAAAAAAATCTAATCAATAGTGATTGTGCGACTATTCTAGAATCAACTTTTTCCGGAGTTCCAAAGGAACTTATGAAGAGGTTGGTGACACAAAAGAAAAAGAAAAATCTCGGGGCATATCCACCTGAGCTAAGGTCATTTGCTCTGACCTTGAAATTTTATTCGACTAAAGCGTATAATTATGTGCGAAAAAGTTTTGATTTAGGGCTGCCACATGTAAACGTGATTCGGTCATGGTACAGTTCCATGAATGGCGAGCCAGGTTTTACAAAGGATGCGCTGACAGCTCTGAAAGCCAAAGTTATAGCCGCAAAAAGAGATAACCAAGAAGTTGTTTGTGCACTAATGCTCGATGAGATGGCCATACGCAAGCATGTCGAATGGGATGGTAAGCAGTTCCGTGGTTATGTTGATCTTGGCACAGGCATCAATGATGACTCGCTGCCCGAAGCAACAGATGCTCTTGTTTTTATGGCAGTCTCGGTGAACTCCGGTTGGAAAGTACCATGTGGGTATTTTCTAGTGAACGGTCTTACTGGACAGGAGAAAGCCAACTTGACCAAAGAATGCATAACCAAGTTGCACGAAGTAGGGGTGAAGGTGGTGTCTTTTACGTGCGATGGCCCCACGTCTCACCAGGCGATGTTGAAATTACTCGGCGCTCAACTGTCACCTGGCAACTTACAAGCGTACTTCCAACATCCATGTGACCCGACAGCCAAGATCTATATCTTCCTAGATGCTTGTCACATGATAAAGTTGGTAAGAAACACCATGTCGGACTATAAGGTCCTAAAGGATAAGGATGGCAACGTCATCAAGTGGCAATTCGTGGAGGAATTGCATAAATTACATCTTGCCAATAAGCTCCGATCCGCTCATATCAAATGGAAGCCGCAGAAAATGAAGGTAAACCTAGCAGCACAGGCACTCAGTTCGAGTGTTGCAGATGCCTTGGAGTATTGTGAAGGTAAGCTGAAATTGCCACAATTTCAAGGCTGTGGTCCAACAGTACAATGTATTCGTGTTTTTGATCATCTTTTTGATGTTCTGAATTCCAGGAATCCGTTGGCGAGAAATTTCAAGGCGCCAATTAGAAGATCAAACTATCAGTACACGAAGAGGTTTCTAGATGAGGCACGTGAGTACATTCGAAATCTGAAAGGTCCAGATGGTCAGTCGATCCTTACGTCAAAAAGGAAAACAGGATTTCTTGGTTTCCTTTTGTGCATCAATGCTGTTGTGGGATTAGCAGAAGATCTCGTTAATGCGGAGAATCCTGTCCTGAAGTATCTTCTGACGTACAAGATGAGCCAAGATCACTTGGAATTATTCTTTTCAGCTGTGCGAGCTTGTGGTGGGTGGAATAACAATCCAACAACTCGCCAATTCGTAGCAGCATACAAGCAACTGCTGATGAGGCACAACATCGAAGGAGGACGTGGAAACTGCACTCCTCAAGATGATACGGAGATATTGAACAGTGTCCAGGATCAACATGAAATCAACTCCGTACCTACTGGAATTTCTGATGTGGCGATTGCAAGGAGATATGACTTGGAGATGAGACAGCCAGCTGCAGATGATCACAACTACTGTGATGTTTCGAACGCCATGGAATTATCTGAGTACAAAGAGGCGGCCATATCGTATATCGCTGGGTATGTGGTGAAAATGGTGGAGAAAAAGATCCACTGTCCACAATGTCTAGCAGTGTTGACAACGAACAAAGAAAGCATTCCAGATTTATTCGTAACATGGAAAACGAATGGAGGCCTGAAACTGCCATCACTTGGCCTCATCAAAATATGCGAGGAAACAGAGAAGTGTGTGATGAGAATGCTAAATGTAAATGGAGGTGGTTTACCACATAACGCTGGACTTTCAAGTGCGATTGCTACGACGGTGTTATCAGTCTGTGTTGAAAGCAAGGTCTTTAGTACGTTAGACCAACACATGTTTGATTCGACTCCAGAAAACAACCATGTTTTCAAATTGATTAAATGCTGTTGCCAGAGTTACGTGACGATCCGAATGCACCATTTGAGCAAGACGAGAAATGCGGGGATGCACGAGAAGATAGTACGTAAACAATTTTCGAAGCTTGTGCTATTCAAACACCAGTAGTTTTCAGCCTGGGCACAACTGTGCTTTCGAGGTAATTGCCCGTACCTATTAATACAATGTCAATGATTGGTTCAATTAAATTCTGCATGTCTCTGAGAACAATAAATTTCTACTTCAAAAGCAATCTTGAATTGCTTAACTGGTTCAGACGGTTACGTTATGACTATTTAAAACATGAGAAGCAACGTTTTATGATTATCTTTAGGTCTGATAAAACACGCGAAGTAATTTTCAAAAAATACGTTGTGTAAGTCGAGAAAATCAAAGTTAAACACGACACGGTTATGATTTTTCTTTGTGTTTTCCTCAGGAATGATGAGTATTTAAAGATTGTTTAACTAACTTCGTTTTAAATATCCCAGTTACAGACATTGTATTTTTGACAGGAAGGGCGCCTGGCACAATTTTATTGTGTTTCGAGTAAGCATTGTCAATGGTACCTGAACATTTTAGATGTTTTCGAGGGTTGACAAACAAACAAATAAGGAAATGAATGGTGTTTGTAAAGTGTTAATGATACCTGAACATTTTAGATGTGTGTGAGGTATATAAAATAAGAAGTGAATGTTTCACCTTGAATTTTCTAGTACAATTAATATACAGTAATTGAAGATCGAGGTACGTAATATACATATGTATTACTTGTAGTAGCATTTTACTATGTCTATGTCTGTGAATTATTACCATATTTAACGTAACTATTTTTCTTTATTTCTAGATCCAACAATATACATCAATATCATCAATAACTGGATTGCTGTATATTTTGATTGCGCTTTATTATTATTATTATTATTATATATTTTTAGTTATAATATTTTGAATTGTAAAACATGCATCTATGTAACATATATATATTAACTACTTTACATTGTAACATTAAGTTAGAATAAGTAGAATACCACTTACAAACTAACATTTTAAACAAGCCAGGCAGGTATTTATCTTTCTTGACACCTAAATGGGTTGACATTGAACACGTACTACATTCATTTAACGAAAGTTGGAAGAACAAGGAACATTAGGGAATACTATTATCCCATTGAGATTTCTAAATGAATTTACTGGTACTGCATAATGCCATGTAAGTGTTTATCAGATTCACAATTTTAGTTGCATATATTTAGGTGATCATATTAATTAGCCTGAATGAATGGACACTTGGCACTTACCTATGGACACTTGAATAATTGGACACTTAATTGGTGGGATTAGCCTGAATGAATAGACAGTGTCTATAATGCACTAATGGGTTATTGTTAACATGTACCATTAAATATTATAACTCCAATTTTGCCTTTCACACCTTGTGGTAAAGACATTGAGAAAGGCAAAGTTGGACTTTTAATATGTAATTAAACCCCTCCATCCCAATAGATAATATGGTATAGGTAAATTTATATATATTATATTATATATATATATATATATATATATATATATATATATATATATATATATATATATATATATATATATATATATATATATATATATATATATATATATATATATATATATATATATATATATATATATATATATATATATATGTGTGTATATGTGTATATATATTTATATTTATAGATGTGATGATTTCTAAAGAAAGATAAAGAGGGCTAAAATGCATATTCCTAATCATGACCGGATGACAAAAAAATATTTATACTATGCTGGCTCTTATGGACTATTTTCAGAAACATTTTCATCAGTTTTTGATTGGAAAGGAAATTTCAAGAAAAAAAATATGGTATATATCCTGCTCATCAAATTATGCTACCAATTACGATATATCCTATGTAAATTAATTGTCATCAAAATGCCCTGAACTTATTTGATGTTA